ACACACACACACACACACACACACGATCACCCTCACACAGATGGGATCAACCTCTCATCTCGTCTCACCTAAGCCGTCCTCCCATTATCCTCTGTGTGTTTTCCGACTTGGAAGACCCCAGAGCTCACAGATTCGACAGTCCAGCTATAATCACACACGGATTAAGTTCTCGTTCCCTCTCTTTCCTCTTTAGCCTCTTTTCCGAGGGTGGTTGGAGGGTGCTTTGATAAGTCCTTCGCCTTTTTAACCCTCTCTTGTTTCTGTCTGTCTGTGGGTGGGTGGTTGGAGGACGCCTTTCATAGGTCCTTCACCTTTTTTAACCCTCTCTTGTTTCTGTCTGTGTGGGTGGGTGGGTGGTTGGCGGATGCTGCTTGCTTCTTCTTTCATATGGAACATCTTTAGTCCTTATCTCCCCTTCTTCTTTTTTATGTTTGTTACTCTCTTGTAACACTTCTAATCTTCTGGCGCTCATATGACCTTATGCAGTTGCGGGCGCCGTAAAACCTCAACTAAAACTAAAACATGGGTGGATGGTTAGAGACCCCACTAGAAGGTCCTACTTCTAATCTTTCCCTCTGTTGTTTCTGTCTGTGTGGGTGGTTGGAGGGTGCCACTGGTAGGTCATACTTCCTTTCTTTCCCTATGTTGTTTCTGTCTAAATGTCCTGCTTTTTCCCTGAACTATATTCTGACCGTTATTGTAACGATGTGCTTCCCTTTCCTCAAATTCAAACGCCCCTTTCTTCCTGGTTTCCAACACAAGTTAAAGCATTCAGGAGGCGGGCTTCCGACCCTACCCGTCTCGGCCAACCCTGGTTGAGAGGGATACCACATCCCAAAGACCGGGATCATCGTCATCCAGTGCCAGATCTGCGACAGACATAGGCGATCATGGTTCTCCATTCTTTCCTTTGTTCGGATGCTATTAAATAAGCTACGTTTCCCTGATCTTTCTCTGTCACCCACTTGTTCAGGTTCCCCAAGTAGGTTGCTCTTGGCCTACCTCTGCCATCACTGAGATACTCGATAAAAAAAATTCTCCCCACTAGGTACGTCTGCCCTTCCCCCGCTAGGGAATTGAACTCAGGTCTCCTGCGTGCGACAGCAAGGCGCCTAACCGCTACACCACCAGAGACGCTGGTGCGGTAAATTTGTCCAAACAAATTCAGTAATGGAGGGGGGACAATTCCCGAGAATCCCAGCTCAAAGAGGTTCTATTTAGTACTAGAGTTCGTGGCAGTGGTATTCCCTACGCAAACAAACTATTTAGATGTGGTCAACATGAAATAGACCGACAGTGACAGAGAGAGAGAGAGAGAGAGAGAGAGAGAGAGAGAGAGAGAGAGAGAGAA